TTATTTTTAATCTCTTGCATACCCTCTTGGTTAGTGTATACCTGAGGGTAATTCCTAATCTCTCCTATACCCTCCTGGGTAGTGTATACCTGAGGGTAATTTTTAATCTCTTTTATACCCTCTTGGGTAGCGTATACCTGAGGGTTATTTTTAACCTTTTCTTATCCCTCCTAACTCAGCAGTCGCGTAAGACGATATTCATATGTGTGAATTTGTTCCCAATGACCTTAAATGCAATAACGATGTTTTAGACCAGCTTCTTCCCTGGTATAGTCGATTTTGACAAGACTGATGTCTTCGGAAAAGCTCAAAATGCCGTTCCAAACTGAAACCTTCGCACATAAAAGGTCATTATAAGAATAACTGCATTGCGCCGAAGCTTGAAGACCGAACGAGGAGACTATCAGTTGGAAGCGATGTGTATTCTCTGGATTATCTAATCAACATAGTTTCTGGACTTTAAAAGTTAAAAACCATGACCTGTATAAAGAAGGGTTTGTCGGAGTTAACCTTACGTAGGCCTAGGTCTTCGATCATGGAGGTGAAATCAGCTTTACCGGTGCCGCTTTTTAGGCTATTTTTGAGTCCCTTCGTTTTACGTGTTTTAAATTGTTCTTGTTATATGTTTCTGTAACATTTGGTCAGGAATATTCGTGGACCTTGTGTTAACAATTTACTGTTGTCTTCTTTAAGACATGCATTGTCTTTACAGAGAAAATAAGGTTAGCGTATCGCCCTTTAAGTTTTTTCGAATTAGACCCGTTAAGTTTGTACGAGACATTTCTCTGAACTCTTGTTTCTGGAAAATGAGTGAACAAAGTAGAGCTGCATCTTGAAAATGATTGGAATTGTAATCATCGGAAGTTGCGGTTTTTTCCATCTCATTCGAGGGGAGCATAATTACATTTTTTGAAGCGATTATCGGATGTCCTGGAATGTTAAGCGAACACCTCGTGCCACCAAGAGACGTCGAACCTTGGCTTGAATTACTTATGCAAATTAGCTGGCTGCACATTCAATTTGCATCGGCATAAAGGGTAAAATATGGACTGGACTATTTTTTTGACCATTTTTTGGACTATCTTTTTTTGGGACCAAATCAAAAATTTAATTAAAAAGCTCCTAAGGTGATAAAATAAAAAATTAAATTTGCGAATAATGTATTCTGTAACCTGTGGACACAATGCCTTTGATTTCTATACAATACTCCGATTTCGACAAACTGAATTGACGGACCAATTACAACTGACATGTAAAATAACACAAAAGCCTTCAGTAAGCGGATAAAAAGTAGGAACTTTGAATGACAGATATTGAAAAAATTATTGTTTCATTAGATATTTACGCTTGTTTAAACGCTGTCATCTTCAGGTGAACTTGGTATCGATTGTCTGGGACTAAATCATTGATTGACTCAAAACTCAAGAAATGACCGAGAAGAATCCTCAAGGTAAAATTATTTTTTATTTAAAAAAATCATAAACATGCAATTCTGGCAAAAAAGAAAATGATAAAATTGTAGAGTAATTCCTTAAATCATTTCTACAAAATTACGTTTTATGATGACAAGGGTCAAACTGATCATATTCATAATCTTTGCAGTAGATCCTCCACCATATACATCGCCTGCGCAGCCTCCTGTCTCAGCTCAACCTGGTAGCCCTGCTCAGCCTGGATATCCACCCCAGCCTGGTTACCCACCTGGTTACGCAGCCCAACCAAATTACAATGCGCAGCCAGGTTACCCAGCGCAGCCTCAACCAGGGTATCCACCTCAGCCTGGGTATCCACCTCAGCCTGGGTATCCACCTCAGCCTGGGTATCCAGCACATCAACCGGCAGCGTATCCTCAACAGTCTGTTCAGCAAGTACAACAAAGCAGCACTGTGATCAATATTGGCGCCCCTGTAAGTTTAAGACTGATTGTTGACATTATTTCCTGCCTTTACCGTGTAACTACACATCAGTTGTCTTCCCTCTTCAATGCTTAGTCTTCCTTTCTGTTTATAGGACGTTAAATTGACTTCTCTATTCTTGCACAGGCTGCCCAGACTATCGTGGTGCCAGTCAATCCTCGTCCTCCAAATCACATGTGTTGGTCTGTGTTAAACTGCCTTTTCTGTGCATGGCCCATAGGACTGGCAGCTATTGTGTTTTCTTGCATGGTAAGATAGAAAAAGTTTGAAAATCTATCATATGAGAAAACGGAAAACGGGCTTAGAATTGTACGTGCTCGACCTTGCAAAGCTCGGTCTGTGATGCTGAATAAGATCTCTATTGAGTCTCTGTATGAATACCATAAATGTTGGGGAATAAAGTATTCGCGACGATCATGAAGCTAACGTATGGATAACCTTTTAAGCAACTATAGTCGTTTCAGCAAACTTCGTGCTCAGGATCTGTAATTATATAGTGCATTCACAGTCATTCTATAGCAAACTTGAACATAATTTGTTCATGATGTCCAACAGTCGCATTTCAAAAAGTAATATTGAAGTTCAAGACTTGCAAAAAGGTACTGTGGTTTGAAACCTCACACAATATTCAACATTATTTCTCATCACAATTGGCAGTAATACCACAATTGATTGGCCAATTTGCCGTTGTCAAAAAACCACTAAACCACTGTTGATTTGTTAAATCGAAAATGGTTCTTTTCAACCGTTGCAAGATAATCAATACTGGGGCTATAAAACTTTATTTTGGTTACATAATCTCCTTTCTTTGTTGTTTGTTTGTTTGTCTGATGTTAGTTTCGTTTGTGTATTTGAAGGTGGACAGTTCATATGCTGCAGGAGATTACGATGGTGCCTTGAGGAACTCTAACATTGCTAGGTGGCTCAATATTGCATCTATCATCTTTGGCCTTATCATATACATCAGTATCGTATCCAGCTCGTTTGCACGCTAGTTAATTTAGTCTACAGAACATGCAGAAGATTAAGGTAGAGCTCATTTGCCAAATCGGGTTTTTTCTCTTTTGTAAAATTTTGGTCATATAACACGTACTCAACTGTTTATCTTAACATAATTTAGCATAAATTTCAATTATTTCCAATCGAGGTTTAGTTCTTTTCTAAATTTTTTTAAAATCCTGATGGCCATTACATTTTACGGTTACATTTTACAGTTACAGCGTAATTTTTACCGCTCGTCGCTGTACCGAATGAAATCTTCTTTCGTGCGCTTACAATTTGACTGGATTTTAGATTTTATTAAAAAGATGGAATCCCGTCTTGCATGAAGATGGATGGATGATAAGCAGATTTTTGCATTTACGCTAGTCTTTTCTTCTTTGTATTGACTTTAAAGTTCGAGCAATAAACGGGTGTTTAGTATACCTCTTTTCATTGCCTGTTTATTATTCTGTAAACCTATCATGTCATGTCAGCACTCACTAACCCAAAAGAATCAATAACGCCGAGGTATGTGACCCTGGCTGTCGCAAAATGATCACTGAGAAAGTGGCGTCTGGTTAGGTACTACAGGATTTATTCAATTCACTCGTTGTGTTCGTGGAAAAAGAAAGAATCGAGGCCTGATGAGGATTGGGCATTCGAGAGGCCCTGTGTTAGCCGGTAGGATTCTTCACACTAGCATCCGGGTCGAGATGTCTACGTTGAAATTCCAACAAGAAAAATTTCAGAAAACGAAACATACAAAGTAAAAGGCTTTTGAGCCAAGGCTCAAACTCAGTGTTTTTTCGCAAGCTAGTATTGTAGCGCATGCGTTAGTCACCTACCGTCGTGCATCGCTCAGTTTCAACAAATTTGTTGGCGGTCTTGGCACACTGTTTTACTAGAGTTGGCATAATGAAATAGTCAAATGGCCGACGGAAAAATAAATCTTTTGTTTCTCTCCACGAGCAATTTCCAAAATGGAATACACGCATTTTTTTGACAGTCGTTTGTTGTTGCACACTGTTGAACTTATATCTCCGGCTTATAAACAAAAATAGAAAGCGGTCCAGTATTCATATTTCGTTCGTCTCATTCGTTATACGCTTGCTTTCAGCCTCTTTTCGCTACTTCTAATTCTATAATTCTCGAGTTTACGACGAGTTTAATGTGATCATCTTTATATACCTCAGATATGATAGAATTTTGCATTGGTACTTCTACAAATGTTGAGACATTCTACTTCAATGACATGGATTACTGATAAACACGAAAAGATAAAAAACCTCAAATCATATGTTACTGCGCCCGGTCAATGAAATTACAGTCGAAATGAACATGAACTCTTACAGCGCTGATTTTTCCTTCCCGTCGTAAACAAAAGCATCTATGTTTCAAGTTCATTTATGCCTCTCGGCATTAACTGTGTTGTATAGACCCATAGCGATAGTTCCTCCAACCAGGCCTACCACGGCACCTGACACAGCTGAGCCCCCTAGCAAAAAGTTCCCACTTGCACCTCCTACGGATCCAAGAATGGAAGCTTGATCTACTCGTATTTGGTTCCGGTTATACCTGGATCAAAATAGTAGAATGCATCTTTTAGCATTCTTGTGATCAAACCTACTGCAAACTTAACGGAGTACCAGGTAAAAACAAGTACAAAGGACTGCAAACTTAATGGACTACCAGGTACACACAAGTACAAAGATATTTACCCCCTTCGTCTCCTTCGCAAGTCCAGCTCACCTTTAAAGCTGAGAACTGTGTATATGCGTGCAAATATGCCAGGAAATTGTGAAGGACAAGAAATAATTTGATTTTCAGAAAACTGGAAAAACACACCCTTTTCAATCCTTTACATCCCTACACGATTTCCTCTGCACATTACCAACAGCACTGACTGAGAGAGTTTGTTTAACAGTCCAGAGCCTCTTTACACGGCAATCATTGACATCATTCTTATAACTTAAGTCTTTGACTCGGCTGTGATCGATATCACTAGGATAAATGATTTGTTAGTCGCTCTAAGGGGTTATAGGGTTAGGTTGATTTCAACACATCTCGAAAAAAGAGGCTATGCATATACATAAATTCTTAAAATCTTTGTACCTTAATCTATATGTACGATCAAACATTCCGTCATCATCAATGCCTGCACCACTGTTAGCCTTTGCAAAAGTCATTAGAGGTCCCAGAGGAATCCCAATGATCGCTCCATTTCTTCCATACCGAAGAGCTGTCTCTTTAACGGCCCCTAAAGTGCGAGGGCTAGCAGCAAGGCGAACTACAGGAGCAATAATGACCATACCAAGAAGCGCCCCAGCTTGAATGGTCTTGAAAGTAACATGAGTGTAGAGTTCTGTTTCCGGGTACTTTATGTTTCTCATTTCTTCATCTGTTAGCTTTTGACCCAGCATGTTCCTCCACCAAACAAAGTTACTCATGGCGTCTTTTAAATGTGATCTGCAATGTTATGAAAAAATCGACAACAACGTCATAATTAGTCACATGATTCTTCCTGGCTCTCTTATGGAATTACAGGCTCCAGGCCCTCAGTCCGTGGAGACTAAGTACAAGGCGGGCGAGAGACAACGAGCGGTTGTAGTTGTGAAGTAAACAACAGCTCGTTTATGTGACCCCCTGTTTTTCATGCGCCGCGGACTGAGAGCGTGACACAAGCTAAAACCCTTCTGGTGAGTGAACAAGTCACGCCTCAGCATAACACACCTGAGCACATTTGCTACAGTGGCAAACACCTATCGAAATCCATGACGTATTACAAAATAATTTATTGTGGGGAGATTTGTAGGGTGAGAAAGTGATATTTTTATGAGCACCGACTTCATTCGCCTTTAAAAGGATTCGTATGATATGTAAATTTTCTTCGATGGGCAAATCCGGACTGACGATCCAAAAGACCTATTCATTCCCTACCAAAAAATCATCAGAGTGCAAACTAGCTTGCTAAAATTGTTTTTGAATTTAAAAAAAATCAAAGAAAGACAAATCGTTGCAGTTATCGACCTCCAAAATTTCCTATGATGAACTTAACGCTGCTAAATGTCACGCAAGCGTTTCTCGTAAAATTTAAATGATATTTTTATTTCTTTCGGCTTTAGAAAAAAAAACTCCTTTAAAAAATTTAAAATTGTGACATTAAACATAGCCCCTCTATTTTTTCAAAGGCCAAACCGCAATTAATAAGTAGTTAGAACTAAGTAAGTATCTAATGATCTAGTTTCTTTGATCTGTTTACATATAGCATCAATTAGCAGCGACATGTTTTTCCAAATGGACCTCGGGCGCTTTAAATTCGTTGCTTTACGAGGCAGAAACTTCGTTCCTGTGCTCTTTCAATCATTTCGAAGCGCAAGGTTTGAAAAACTTTTGGTTTCAACCAGCAGGTAGCTAAATGGCCAATCGCAAATACTATCAAGAACTAGACGCAATATTAGAAAGCTTGTGCAGAAATTCACGTACCTGACTCTGTGGATACACACCAATGATAAGAAGTTGTTTCTCGCGTAGCTTTGCCAATCGGCTATAACAAAGATCAGGCTACAAAAATTGGCTCTCTTGTCGAGTATTTCCTCAAAACAAAGTTTACGTGTGAAGCTAGGTGTGATATCGTGACCTTGTGCAATAACAACTCACAAGCGAAAGCAATATTTTCGTTCAGCGGTAATTATCATGCAAATTTATATAGACGTGTCTTAAAAGAAGAATAAGATCAGAAGTATCGTCGACAGTTGCCAGCTTCAAATCATCTTACAGAGTTAAAGAGCCGAGTGTAAGCCTCAAAAGAGTTAAATTATTTATATTTATTATTTTTCAAACTCATAGTACGTTACAGTTACATTGGTTAATGTATTGAAGACAGAGCACAGGTAAATTACCAGTACTGTATTGCAAAATCTCTTTGTTTGACACAGAGATTCAGCACTCAGTGTTCGAATGAAAGAATTACATTATTTCGTTCATCAAGCAATTTTTCGGTTTCAACCAGAAGGCGTTTCGGAACTCATTCTTCCGTTTGCTTTATCGCTGCCAGCGTATGATTAAAAAATGTAAATGTCTTTAGAAGGGAGTCCCATCGTATCTTTGGTTAAAGTTAATTACGTCTGGATCTGCCGCTGTGCCGTAAAATCGTGTTTGAAAGCCGGAATGACAACTTTGCTTGACCCCTTACACCTTAACATCAGTATACATATTCTCCAAACTGTCCTTCATGCATTTCCTTAGGTGCTCACATGGAAAATTTGTTTAGTTGGTGATCATTTCCTTTATTCTCGTGACCTTCATGCGTGTTTCAAGGGTTATATTGTGGGGAGAAATACGATACTGGTCTGTTTTAGAGGTCAAAGGGTTGGTAAAGAGAGCCATACTTCAAACTAACAAGCTGAAGTCTCATTGTTATGGTTTGACGCACAATCGCATAATTATTAAGAGAGGAAAATCGAAACGAGTTATTTACATGGGGTTTTGTAGGATGTTGAGGCAATCAAGTATGTTTTCAGTATTTTCTGAGAAATTCACCCTTTGAATGACTTGACTTTATCGATCCAACTGACTCTTAGCAGTTAGATCAGGCTGAGAGGTTTGCCTATCGTAGTTTTGTGCTGTCCGAAACACCACTCCTTTTTGCATCGGCCATAACGCAACCTCTTCCGTTAAAGTTTTTTTCTTCTTGTTGATCGTAGATTATCTTATGTTTAAGGTAGATTTCTACCATGTTCTTGGTTCTACCATCCACACGCGCATCGCTAGTTGCTGGTGAAAGGCCAGCGAGGAAGAACCTTAGGATATGATACCATCATCCCATGCAGATGGTCCTACCTCCAAGCCAGGACTGAACAGAGACTCAGATTGACTGTCGCATATTCTACGCTGAGGTTCATCAAACCTTCTCCATTCTTGTTTCGCATGATATGAAATTTAGTCACGCCTGAAATTTGAAGTGAACTCCCAAAAACTATGAGATAGAAGGAACGAGATGAAAGAATATCAGATAAAATGACGCTCCAACTATTCCCAGCATGCCAAACACAATAGCCGTCATACTCCAGTACTTTGCATTTTTCGATTTCTGCACAGCACCTTCTCTGTTTCCATCATCGTAGGTTCTGTCCACCTGTAATGAGGTGAACATAACAGACTGTATCACAAATCTAATAATCACAGTCACGATAATTATACTTCTGAGGCAGAGCAAATGCTTCGAGTGGTTTCAAATGAAGTGGAAGCAAATTGGTACTAGTCTTTTTTCCAGTCAACGTTGGGTCTTGGCAAATAACCTTGTTACTCGTGAAAAGAGACCTGGCACAAGATTGGTACCAGAAATAAAAATTGTGCGATGGAGTGGTGAGATTTCTAAGATTTTAAAATTATTCTTCTTGTTCTTTGAAAATATTCAAACATCAACAAGATGGCACTGTGAGGAAAACTCCAGCTAAGAAGACCGTATGATTCAATTTTATTTCCTTTCTTTTCAGAGATTTTTTTGTTTCCGTGTTTGGTCGGTCACCACTCTCTTGAGGTTTTGAATTTATTTCTTCATTTCTCTTAATTGAAGCAAAATAGTAAATATGAATGAGATTCGTGATAACCGCTAATGTTCGAAGAATTATTTTTAAAGCCTAAAAGCTTAGTTCGTTTTGCCATGGTGGGTTTTTAAGGTCATTTAGTATTGGTTTCGTTTAAGTCCACTTCAAGTTTCAAACACTATCCAATCAAATAAGTAAAAACAAAGTGTCAGCCACAGCAAACGAGCATGTATACCTCTGGGGTATTTTACCTGTAGTGCACAAATGAATCCGACCACACCAAAAGGTAGGCAGCAACAGATTATTGCAGTTATTGCCAGACAAATGTGGTTGTCTGGCCGAGGAATAAGTAATGGCGGAGATTGCTGATATGTTGAATAACGAGATTTTCTTCTAGATTCGTCCTTCGACAAAAATAATGAGATTTATGTTAGTGCACTTGACGTTAACAGCGTCGTTAGTCTTCCTTACTGTTTGGCGTACCTTACTGAAGAAATGTAAAAAAAATAATTATTTAAAAAACTACTTATTTAGAGAAAGGCTGATAGCACACAAACCTGAGCCGAAGGTATGACTGTAACGCGGACCTGCCCTGATGGGTCTGTATCTTCTGATGGCCAACTGACTATATCAAGATTTACAGTTGAACCAGGCAGAGGTGTAACATGATCTCCTTCCTCTTCCTCGTCGGTTTGATCTGAGACGGTAAGAGATGATTTTTTTATCTCTTCGTTCTCTGATATATTGAGATTTTGCTGCTTGATGTGGCCATTACGTAAGACTGTAAACAAAGACAAATTAATCCGATTGGTCAAAAACGAAAATGCAATGTAACGTGGTCTTGAAGAGCTTTTTAAGTGTTGGAAACGAAACATCTTCTAGATATATCATTCACTAACCTGTAGTCAGGCCATGAGAGTAGACATGCCTATACGTGGGAGGGTGCAAAAAATTATTCGGAAGAAAACTGGTAGCAGCTGAAGGGGAGAATTATGAAATAGATCTGAGGACGTTGGGGGGTTCAGAGACAAATTTATTGTGAAAGAAGATTCTAATTGGATTATAACGTGAGGCTTTGCCATCTTGGTCGAGCGGGAAAACATTGACGTTCCCGTGACATGATCTGGCTGTCATAACGCACAATTCAGTTCAAAAACTGTCATTCGAACGCCTAAGGAATGTCTCTTTATGCATGAGTTTTTAATTCAAATTGTTTTTTCGAAAATGGCAGGTGAAATATGCATATTTGTTTGCTGTCTGATTAACCTTTCAACTCCCAAAATCTGAATAGCAATTCTCCTTACTATCTGCCATATAATTCTTACGATGTCAGTTTGGAGAGAATGGTATTGCATTGGATCAACTAACAATCCCCTAACTGACATGTCTCTTTGTTCTCATCCTTTTTCTATTTGGTATTGTATTGATAATATAAGGAAAAATTCTGTCTTAGTTACTCATAGGAGTTAAGGGTTTACAATATTTCTGCTTATTTTTCTAACTCAGGCTAAGAGATTCCATCAACATAATTTAGGATAGTTTTCCATTTTGTTTTTTTCTCCATTCTACGATGTTAGCTCTAGCCCCCTACTTTTTCCTCTTTCCTCAGGTAATGGATCGATCAGTCTTCTCTTACATAATGATGTCTCTTTGAACCACTAAAAACTAATCCAGAGTGTTCGGACAGCTTGTCTTTTGTCATGATCACCATCTTCAACAGCCTTTCCTTTTACCGCATAAATTTGTGATAGGACATTGGCTTTTGTTCCGAAGACCTAAAGGTGTCCACCAGAACTAACAAAGAATGTGAACGCGTACATTTCAAAGTGTGACGTTTACTTTGATTTGTACACTTTTCATTTACTTGTAGGAATCATAAAACCCTAAAACAAACATACTACTCAAGAGAGAAAATTCATACCTCCATTAAGTTCCATTCCTCTCATCGGGCTACGCAATTTCTATCTGTTCCTGGCCAGTTTAGGGCAGAAATGATTCCTGCTGAATATCATATGAACGAAAAAAAAATAGTTGAAATCAACCTGGCATCACCATCGTTAGCTGTCAGACGATAAGGACATGACAAATTCGTAATCTTACATTATTTTCAAGTGCAATCTATGTGACATATTTCGTCATTAATCATCATTAATGCAACAGTATACCTCGTATGAAAAGGAAAGGAACTCTATTCTTCATGAATGGCTCTAGTTTTCCCAAGAATATGATTGCATACATATATAGAACTCGTAACACAATGATCTTCAATGCGATATTTAAAGAAAGTAACTAGGCGCTGTAGTGTGCCTAGTTTCACAATATCACACGTCAGCGCTACGCGATCAGGTAAAATTTACGACAGTACCAAGGATAAGATATGCTGATAAGAGAGAGAAAAGACCTTATACATGTAAATTAATGTTAATCTGAACTCAGTGACACCAGGAAATCCATTATATATTATCATTTGAACATCGGTGAATGTGATTAGAAAATGAACAGAACTCCAATTGGCGATGAAATGGTTGACACGTTACCATTTAAATTGCTCCATTTTAAAATGGAATACTAATATTTTATTCCTAACAACCTTACTTTCAATTCCTCCTCCTTGGTATAATATCGCACTTTGTTTCCTGTGACTGTACAAAATTGAATGGAGGAAGAGTTATATGATGCCTAATTTCACCTTCATTCAAATTGCATCTCTAAATACTTCCTTAAAAGTGGCTCCATAGGATTTGAAGCCATTTTGTTGATGCTGTTGTTTAAAAATCCAACTTCGATATCTGTTCTTGAACCACACGTGGTACAAGAAAACTGTTATATTTTCATTCACTGTGTGGTTAGTCGAGGCATAGAGATCTTCTGCTTAAGAACATACATGTAGTAGCAATTATGCGACCATTTAGGAGTAGCAAGTGTTTTGCGATATAAAGCGAACCATATCATATCAAATATTTTATATTTCGTATAAATGTTAATGCCATCATTTGAGACTGCTCCTTCATTTAATCCTTAAGCTTCTCTTTGTATATATACCAATTTGTTTAGTTTTGAAATAAAAATTCTAGCGGAAAATCCATTCAATAGATTGCTTGAGTTCAAGGAGTCGGCTATGTCGCAAAATGGACGAGTCCATCTTACAACAAGAAAGAAACTT